TGGCCACTTGCGAGCTGTGTACATCCACACGGCATTGCATGTCTCGAAGACTCAGTTTCTTCATCTGCAGAATGGGGACTTTAACACCCACCCAGCTTACCCCACAGGGCCAGGGAGTCATGCATATGTAAGTAGCTAGAAATGATGACAGACTATATACATGTGCCAGCTATTATGACATCAGGTTTTTCTTTTAACTCACTAACACTATATCCACTTCACAGATACTGAGATACCTGACCCTGGATTGCTCCTGTGGGCTTTGACCAAGATCCTGGTTTCCCTACTACCCACCCTTATTCCCCGTTCTTAGCAAGAGAGAGCCCAAATGGCCCCTGTCCCTTCCTTCACCAGCCCCAGCTTGTGGGTTTGAAAGATGCTGAAGCAGCCTTCAGGCAACAGCTTGAAGGGCGCCTCCTCTGGGAGACATCCCTGGTCCCAAGCAGAGCAGGAATCTCCTCGGCAAGGCTTCCGGGTTCGCTGAGCACACCTCGTGGCAGCTTTATCAGGCTGCTCTATAATTGTTTGTTTTTCCAACACTGTTTCACAATTACTGTGCAGTTTACAAACACTGACAGTTCCGTGTGATCCAGCTACCGCAGCTACTGCGAGGTGCCGCCCAGGTGCCAGTTCCCGCAGGGCCAGTCCTTCCCAGGTAGAGCAGCCCCCCACACCCCGGGGCCTGCACCAGGACCTGGCTCAGGGACTCTGGTTTGTTGACTGAAGGAAGAAGACATGAATGAGAGGACTGGAGACTTTGGGAACAAGACAGAAGGGGAGAGATGATTCTCGTTAACATCTCTTTATAAAAGCCAGCAAGTTCCTACATCCAGCTGGTCTGAACTGGGGCCAATCATAAAACAGGGAGGCCCCCGAGGCTGAGGGCAGCTGGCTGGCCAGTGGGCTTTATAAGGCGGTTTTATGGACTCAGCTGAGATGTGGTGATGAGAAGCCAAACTTTAAACATCCTCTTAAAGTTTGCTTTCACTTCCCCAGGCCTCTGAGCTGAACAGAATTGAGGAGGTGCCAGGGGAGGGATGATGAGGATAGCATTGTCCACCTGACCAAAAGGAAGTAAGCAGGGATTGCAGCAGGAAGGGCATAAGTTAGAGTTGAGGAAGGACTTCCTTCTGGGGCTGGGAGTGGCAGATGGACTGACTTGCTGACCTATTCTCTGAGACTTAAGAGAGTGTTTACGTCCTGGCGTCTCCAGTGATTGTTGTTTCAGGAGGCTACGGCCTCTACTCTCCATCTCACCTGCTGTCTCCTGACTTCTCTTTTTTTGGGCTAGGCAGAAGCCTCCAGAAAGAGAAAAGACAAAGGAGAACCAAAGTCCATACCAGGATTTGTTCTGAAGCTGGGAGCCCAGGCTGAGCCCCTTGCCTACCAGGCTGTGGCTGCAGGGTCCCTGTGGTCTGAGATGGGAAACTTTTCCCTTCCCTTCTCTTCTGTTTGATTTGTGGAAGAAGAAAAACAACCAGATTGAGTAACTGAAGAAAGTATTTAGAAGTGATGTATTTACTTATTTGAAAGATTTTTATTTTTATTTATTTATGCACACAAGAACTGGGATGTAGGCCAGAGGTGTGGGTGGTGAGAGGATTCACCAGAGATAGAACAGGGAGCAGAACAGGCAGATCTACTGAAATACACTGCTGAGGGGAGCAGCAAGCAAGACAGGAGAGGTCTGCTGCGCCGTGTGGGTTAGCTCCCTGGCCGGGGATCAAACTCATGTTGCAGTGGCTGGAGATAGTTTGATAGCGCTGAGACTTAACTCCTTGCGCCATCAGGGAGGCCCCTTTAGGAGTGACTTTGACATGAAAAATGGTCCAAGAGACAAGGAAGGAGAAAAATCAAAGAGAAGAAAAAGTAGAAAAGAAATTCAGGGATGAATATGCAGGGCAGCCAGGGAGGATGATGTCAGCAATTTTCATTACCCTTCAAGGCAGCGTTAGTGTTTTATAGACAATGACACCCCCCATTTCCCCCACAGGGGTTCCACGCATGGCTTGCTTGGGGTTCCCCAGTTGGTGAAAGTTGTGAATCCAGAGAGGTCTGATTTCAGCCCAGAGCAGGGCCCGGGCCCTGGAGAACACAGGACTTTCACATGCTGGCACCTGGCAGAGACTCCTGGCTCGGTCCCTGTGAATTCAAGTAGCCCTGGATGAGCCTGCCTGGTGTCCTTGCAGTAAGCCGTTAGCCTCCCCTCCAGTCAGCAGCAGATCCCCCTGGGTCCACTGGACCTGGGCCAGTCTGGGCCTGCTCTCCAAGGCTGGGCTTGTGGCCGGCCTGTTGGCTGCGAGGATTGACAACTACGCTTTTGGGGAATTGAGAAGTTGGAACCCAATAAAGCTTTTCAACTCGGCCCTATAGTGCCCTTACAGAGAGGGTGCCCTTTGTCTTGGGAGCACTGGCTCATTCTCTGGAAGCCTCTAGTCCAAGCAATATTTGACCTTCCTGATTTATAGCTTCTGCCTGCTGAGAGTGGTCAAGGTCAGGTGGGGGCAGCTACTCTTCATCCCCCTGCTCCCCTGTGGCCTGTCTCCTTGCAGGGGCTCAGGTCTAGAGAGACAAGGGCAGTGGGAACCCAGCTCCACAAGCCCCCAGGTATGGGGGAGGTGCTGCTCCTGGACTTGGTCTCAGGGGTGAGCATGGCCCAGCCTCTTTTTGATTCCCTGGGGCAGGGGAAGAAGGAAAGAGAACGAAAGGGGGAGAACATTGAGTGAGCACCTATCACGTGCAGGAGCTTTACATACATTAGCACATTTAATCCTTACAGCAACCCCAAAGGGAGGATTATTATCCTTATTTTATAAGTGACAAAAATAAAGTTCAGAGAGGTTAAATATCTCAGTCAGGCCCACACTGCCAGTAAAAGGTGGAGCTGACGTTCCAGTGGGGGTCTACTAAGCCCCAGCCCTGCTCTTGCACACCAGGAGATGATGACTTGATCACCCTTCCAGAACTTCCAGGCCAGGGGTGTTCCAGGCACACTCCATATGTGTGCATGGCCTGTGGGGGCCCAGGCCTCCCAGCTCTAACAAACACCCTTCAGACGTTCCTGGACACTTCCCACCCCTGCTCTGGGGTCCTTGGGAAAACTGGGTTGCCTTTGAAGGGGCCCCCCAGGCCCATCAGCATCTCTACTATTTCACACTTTCCCTTCAGGATCATCAGATGAGGAACAGCTGGGCCTGCAGATTTATTAGGGGTTTGCAAGTGATTCCATCCTCTAGTCCCTGGCTAAGCCCTGCCCCCACTCCCATAGTAGCCTCTGGAAAGCAAAGGGAGTTCCTTTGTCAGTGCCCCAAATCCACTTAGTTGGTGTGATTTTTGCCTCTTCCACTCCTCAGAACAATTGGGAATCAGCCATACATCTAAGGAGAAAGGGGGGAGGGGTGGAGGGGGGAGAGAGCGGTCCTGGGGATGAAGTGTCATGTGCCCAATAAAGACAGCTATCATCAAGGGGGAAAAAAGAGTTTTAGAAAATAACACACAGACACCCCTGGCTGGAAGCACAGAAGACCCAGATTGTTCTCCTGGTTCCCTGGGCTGTGTAACTGGAGGCAAGTCAGGTAATCTCTCTGTGCCTCAGTTTCTGCACCTGTAAAATGGAGATAGTGTCCACCCCAATTATCTTGCTGGGAGGACGTGAGTATCAGAGTGGATTCTTTGTGCTCACTCAAAGCCCATTGCAGGCCCTCCTGCTCACCATGCTACCCTCACCCACAGAAGGCTTTGCTGATGTGTGCCCCCACTGAGACACCCACCCCTCCAGACATTGAAAATATAATGTGACCCTGGAGTTTTCCCACTAAAAAGGATTCAGAAACATTGAACATTTCTCATCTTCCCCTTTGTTTTACAGGGGAGAGCTCACCCGTCGACCTACGCCTGCGCGACATGCATATGTGAGCTCACAACGGTCATGTGATATCAGGAGAGCCACCGGGAGGAGGCACGGGAAGCAGTGGGTGCTGGGGCACAATATGAACATTCAAAGCCAAAGGAGAAGCAAAAGGCCGGATCCCCCAAGGGTCAGAGTTCTGTGGGTGTGACCAGTTGTCACAGGGGCCACTTGCAAGAACCAGCAAAGCCCCCAGGGAGTTGAGCAGAGGCACAGACTGATGATCATATTTTAATAATGAATCACTTTTAATCATTCTAACTGTTGAACAAAATATGCTAATACTTGGTTAGCTTTTAAACTCCTAATGATGGAACTGATGAGTTAATAGCTCAGCATGCCTGGGATGGTCATTGCGATAATGTTATGCTGAAGGAATATTTTTGCCAATAAACCGGAAAGCAATGAAGGTATATAACTGTGATTGCAAGATTAATAAGTAATGAAACAAAAATATGTGTTTATATGTCATTAAATAACACTGGCTGTCAACCTGACCACCAAACTTGACTGACGAGCACTGTCCCAAAGACAGTGCTGCACTTGCCTGAACTCAGGGGCCCACAACAGGCAGAGGCAGCGGGGCAACCGGGACCTGAAGGAGGCCAAGTCTGGCCAGAGCCTTGAGATGGGTCCCTGAGAGACTAGATTCAGGTGGTTGGGGGTGTAAGGCCAGCAGAGGGATGGACAGAATAGAAGCCAGTGGAGGGTGATATGATGAAACGTGAGAGATGCTGAGAATGGACAGCAGAAAAGCTGTTGTGAACTGCGTGCCAATCCAGCAGTCAAGCATTGTGATAGAATCACCAAGTATTAAAACAGAAGTAGGGTCTCCAGGCACCTGACAGCATGGGCAGATGAAGAAGACAGAAACTGATAATGTGGAGAGAGGGTTAAGGGCCAGGGGCAGCAGGAGGCTTACCTACCCCTGCCTGGAGGAACAGGGATGGGCCACTGGAACCAGAAAGACAACCATGCCTTACACCTGTAATTAGGCAAAATGCTTACTTTAGTTGTTTAATAAAGTTGTAGTTGACTCTTTCTGTAGTTTGGCTATTTACCAGGAATTCGGTCATTCCTTTCTTTTAAAAGTCCCTGCTTAAGAATTTCAACTGGATTGACCTGCCTCAACTTCCAGCGTCCAGGCAGAAACTTTTACATTGTAGAGTCCAGACAGGGGCAAACTGACCAATTGATCCTGACCAGGGAACTTGCTGAGCTCAGAATTGCCCCATAGGGGAGAGCGACTTGATTTGTAAAGACATGGGATAAGCCCTGCTGTCTCCTGTGTTGGGCAGGATCACCTCACAGAACTGGATCATCATCCATCGAGGAAATTCTCCACCTTTGTTGACCAGCCCAGGGCTCATCATAGGAGAGGAAGGTCTGGGGCAGAGCCTCCAATTCCCCCTGTAGGAAGTTCAGGAGTTGTTTGAATCTGCTTTGAATTCTTCAAAGATCTGGTTTATTGAGGTTCTTAATCGACTAGAAATGGCAGTCACCTTGGATGTAGGCAAGGAAAACTGCAGCTAGAGTGGAATGGAAGTAGAAATACATTGTTAAATACACTTGACCCTTGAACAACAGGGATTTGAACTGCACAGGACCACTTACACTCAAATTTCCCCCCCAATAAACAGTGCAATACTATGCATGTATTTTCTCATCCTTAGGATTCCTTAACATGTCTCCTCTCTAGCTTACTTGTAAGAATACAGTATATAATATATGACATATAAAATAAATGTTAATCAATTTTTTGTTATCAGTAAGGCTTCTGGTCAATAGCAGGCATTAGCAGTTAAGCTTTGGGGGAGTCAAAAGTTTTATGTGGATTTTTGACTCTACAGGGGGGTTGGCATCTCCTGGCCCCTGCATTGTTCAAGGGCCAATTGTATTCAGATATTTCCATTTGGGGGAGGGGGCTGGAGTTGGGGTTCACATTTTTCTTGGTTTGAGTTCCCAGAAACCTAATGGAAAGGCTCACAGTCTTTTTGTAATTGTGCTTACCATGTGGTGTTAGAGGGAAGTTCAATGCATGAAAGAGTCATCCAGTCTGTGCTGTAAAATAGGAAAATTCCAGCAACCGAAGCATCCTGAAATGCCCTCAGTCTTTCAGCAAGTTCTAGTATTGCCCTTCGCTGGCAGCCAGCTTGCGATGGGGATGTGCACATAGTAGGTTCTCGGGAACATGCATGCCTTCCTCTCCCCCGCCTGGCCTGAGCCCCAGACTCTTAAGGTTATTATAACAGGTCAAGCCTCACTGGCAGATTTGTTTAACCTCACACCATGTTGGATATAAATTCCTTACTCTAAATAACGGTCACTCATTCTCCCCTGCTTTGGAACAACAGGCATTTCATTCACCCCAGCTGGCAGCGCCCACAGACTGGCTAGCTGGCTCTTACGGGCTGAAACGTGCTATGGCTTGTTCCTGTGCCATCTCTCCTCAGCTTTTCTACAAGCCGCATGCAAAAATCTGCCCTATTACTTGATTATCACATTTCATATGAAATTAGGTATTGCAGGTCTCATGTTATTCAATTACTTGGCACAGGCTGAGGGCATGACTCAGAGGTACGCCCTGTTTTACCTCCTTCCAGTTATGGCCTCCTCCTTTATCCTGACCCCTGGGAGATTCTGCTGTGCCAAAACACCCTTCTTCCTGCTAGGGCTTAGGTTAAACTACACACTCAGGTCCCAGGACAAAGGGCCTTTTCTGATGCACTTCAGTTCCATCTCTTTGAACCCTGACTCCTCAGTGTGTCCTGGAAGTGCCCAGATGAATAATCTTCACTTGCTGCCCTCTCTTATGGTATGACCCGCAACCCAGTGGACCAGCCCTGTCTTACCCTGGTCCTGGCAGCTTTTTCATTCTTCCCCCTGTCACTAGACTAATGGTTTCTCTAAAAAGCTTCAGCCCTCCAGGCTGCAGTGTCAGCAGCTCTGGGTGGCCCAGCACACACTTCCTCCAGGTACACGTGAGCATGTTAAAAATTCTGGTCCCACCCACACATCCTGGCTTGGTATCCTCCCCTATTCCATTTTGCAGCCTTCACAATCTCAGCTCCCACGTTTACATTTCATCAGAGTCAACCCCAGGCCCTCTGCGATCCCCCATCAATCCATAGTGATGTTTTTGGCTATACCTCCTGCCCCTGGAAATTATTTCCCACCACGCCAGAGCAGACACACATGGACCTCCTTCTCTTCCCACGCACTTTCACTTCTGTGCCCAATTGTCTTCAGAGGTGCCAGGAAATGCACTTGGGGTTCATTTGCTCATTCAGCAAAGTTGTCTGAGCACCAACTATGCTTAAGACTAGATTCCTTACCTTCAGGATTTCTAACTTAGGAGGAAAGGTAAGAAAAGAAAACACAACCAATAAAACTGAGAGAACATGCCTCTGATGAGAGAGAGAGAGAGAGAGGAATATAGGGCACCAATGCGATTTAATGTACATATTTACTCTGGGAGTTCTAGGTTATCATGTCTGAATGCCAAGGATCTCTAGGAAGCAGTGAAAAGGATCTTGGGGCTGATGATCAGGTCTCAGGAGACGTAATCAAAACTCTTAAAAAAACAAAACAAGATAAATGATGCATTAGCTGTGTTTCTGCCCTGTGAAACTAGAACTCACCTTCATGAAAAGGAAGTGAAGGAATATTGAAATATTCAGTTTCTACTTTCTAACAATGAGCTGAATCCGTTTCCTAAGAAAGGCCTCCCCTATTTTGACATTCCCTTTGGCAATAAGCCCTCTTAATTGCTCTAAAATTCACAATACTGTTTGAAACAAAAATTATGACATTGTCTTGTGGGTTTTATAATGTATGTAGATGAAATACATATGATAACTATAGCAAAAAGGATGGGGGTAGGGAGTAATAGACTTCTGTGGTTGCAAGGTTTCTATAGTTTGCTAAATAGTAACTCTAAGTGGACTGTAAAAAGTTAAGGATGACTATTGTAATCCCTGAGGCCATCATTAAAAAATTAATGCAAAGAGGTATAGCTACAAATCCAATAGATAAATTTAACTGGAATGCTAAAAATTAAAAAAAAAGACAGGAAAGGAAGAACAGAGAAATAGAAAACAGAGGGGGGTAAATAAAACTAAATTCAACTATATCAATAATTACATTAAATGTTAATGGACTAAACATTCCAATTAAAAGACAGAGATTGTCAGATAGATTAAAAGAGAAAAAAAAAAAGCCCTAATCCTTTGCAGTCTACAAGAGATGTACTTTAAATACAAAGACACAGATAAATTGAAAGTAAAGTTGAAAATGAATGAAAATTGATATACATTCAAAAGCTATATAAATATTAGGTAAAAGAGACTTCAAGGTGAAGAAATTACCAGAGATAAAGAGGATATTTTATAATGGTAGAAGGGCCAATTCATCAAGCAAGGAAAACACAACCATATAACAACTAAAAACAATACTTCAAATATATGTAAAAAAGAAAAACCTGATAGGATTGAAGGGAGAAGTAGACAATACCATAATCAAGGTTGGAGATTTAGCAGTAATGGTGGAGTTGTCTGATTTCACTTCTGGGACAAATGGGTTTGGGAGACCATCCCCTGGATGAGGGCTGGGCTATGAACTGGCCTATAGAGTGTAGTGAGACGCTTCAAGGAGGAGATGGAGAGAGCGAAGCAGGTAGTTCACCAATAAATCCTGGAGGCTTTTTGGGGCATACACACTAATTTTAATGGAGAGCTCACAGATTGGGCCCCATCTGAAATAGATAAGCAGAGGTTGAGGTGTTGGTTCAGCTTGTTCTGAGGGTCACAGTGATAATATCTATGTGGCAACAGTCACTTTCGTTGGTTGTTCCAGAACAGGCTGCCAAGTTTTGGAGTGGAAAACAACAGCAGAGGCCAAAATATCTTTGCCCACTTCATTATTAATCTCTTGGGATCACTTTATAATATACCAGATGAGGTGAGTCCTAGGTGTCAAAGACCTCAGGAAGTGTTAACCTTATTCTTAATGGTCACCAAGACTGATAGGGTCTGGAAAAACTAGAGGTAGCTCACTGGTTTTCAAACTTAAGTTTGTATCAGAATTACCTGGAGGTCTTATTAAATAAACCACAGACTGCTGGGCCCCATTCCCAGAGTCCTGATTTAGCAGGTCACAGGCAGGATCTGATGCTGATGCCATGGGTCTGGGGGTGCTCTTGGAGAATTATAAAGGTCAACAAAATGCCAAGAAGCCCAGAAGAGGGAAAAGTGTTTTTGGCACACTGTGGCAATGCTGGAGGTCAGAGTTGTGTAACAGGGTGGTCCCCAGGAAAGGGGGAGGTTCCAGGTTTCCTGTCCCACCCAAGGGAGGATGAAGCTGAGCAGGAAGAGGAGAAGCTGCAGAGGAGACTGAGGAAGAAAGGAAGCAGGATGAAGAGCTAGAAAGAGACCTGGAGGAGGCACATGGAGCCGAAAGACACGTGAAGAAACTGTGCTTGCCTTTTGGTCTTGGACTGGGTGACACAGATGTGGGTAAGAGACCCGTGGGGAGGTGACAATGGCAGTTTTTGTCTTGATTTTGATTTTGCTCTTTTCCTTCCAGACTTGTGTGGTTGTTTCTTATCCTTTTCTGTGGGTCCCCACTAGAAGATGATTTAGACTTGGGGCAGGCTTTGGGGCCTTGTTCTGGGTCAATTCTGCTTGGGTAGACTTTTACCCATGAGGGAATGGGTAACTTTGGGTGCTTGATTTAGAAACTATATTCTTTGCCTTTCCTGTATTGTTTCCTAATTGTATTATAGTTCCTTCCCATTAAAGTCTCATATGTTTTGTGTTGATGCAGCAGAACCCATTTAGAGTTGGCAGGTTTGCGGGATCTGGGGTGCCCCTCTCCCTGCCCTGTAACAGTTGGAGGTCAAGGTGAGGGGCATACTAGGTCAAGAAGATGGTCTAGGAGAAAGGCAAGGACCAGGTGCATTTATGCGGCTGAACTGTAATGACCACTTAAGGAACAGAGGAGAAAAGTTTGGTAAGGTGGAGCAGAACCCAAATAAGGCATGGCCTAAGATAGAAATGAAGAACTAAATCTCAAAAATCAGTTTAGTGGGTTCAAATTCTACTTCTGCCATTTATTATTTATGTTACCTAAAAGAGGTTACTTAACCTCTTTAGAGTTTTAGCTCACTTTCTGAAAAATGGAGCTAATGCTTCTCAGGATTGTTAGTGAGGGAGTATGCCTAGCACAGAGGGAATGCTCAGTTCAGTCAATGCTGTGTTGGTGCTGAACACCAGGCTAAGGATTTGCAGGCGTGTGCACAGATGACACCCCCATGGCAGATGTTGAGTGCAACAGGTCTGTGCTGCATTTTAGCACCATGCTAGCCAGACAGTTTTTTGTGAAACTCTTCTTGAGGACACCCAGGCTTTTACCTAAATAAAATTCCAGCCTCCTCTTCAAAGAGATCAGTTTCTTCTAAGTCAGGTTGCCCTTCTCTGGTTCTTCCCAAGCCCCTTGACAACCACAGAGGATGGCTGAGGCAGCTCTACTG